GAAAATGACATGAAGGCTATGTTAACCAGTTTGATGGAAGTGTTTCGGATTGTGTGTGAAAACCCCACACTTTACCCCAGAAGTGCATTAATGTACATAGTTACCATTCAATTAAAAAAAAAAAAAGATTCTTAAGCTCTAATCTCCTCTTGAAAGCACAAAGCTGAAGTGTGTATTGAAATACTAGAGCCAACTATTCAAGAGATATACTGGCTGCACCCCTGCTGAATTTTCTAGGGTAAAAAAATCTCTTTGGTAACCCAAGGCAGTTAGTTTTTACTCTCTCCACCCAGAAAAACACAAATTATAAGTATGCATAGAAAGCACATACACGTAAGGCTGGGCATGATGGCTCATGCCTGTAATCCTAGAACTTGAGAAACCAAGGTGGGTGGAATGCCTGAGCTCATGGGTTTGAGACCAGCCTGAGACAGAGTGAGACTTCATCTCAAAAAATAGCCGGGGGTTGCAGTGGGCGCCTGTGGTCCCAGCTACTTGAGAGGCTGAGGCAAAGAGAATCACTTGAGCCCAGGAGTTTGAGGTTGCTGTGAGCTATGACACCACAGCCGTCTACCTAGGGCAACAGTGAGACTCTCAAAAAAAAAAAAAAAGCACATACATGTATATACAAACATGCATAAACTTATCTAAATGCTGATGTTGAAATTATTATATTTTCTAGTATTATGCTTAATTTCAGTGAATCTTGTTTAATAACTTGTAAGAAAATAACTTTAATTCTTCTGTTTACTGTTAACATTTTTTAACTCTTCTCTAATGTTCTGTTTTGGGGAAGGAAAAGGAAAGTCATTTATGTAAATATTGTTATCATTCATCATACCAAGTGAAAATACTAACTTTTTTTTTTTTTTTTTTGTTCATAGTCAAGTTTATCCGAGAAGTAACACCATATATCAAGAAGCCATCCTTAGTATCAGATCTGCCATGGGAAGGTGCAGCTCCCCAGTCACCAAGCTTTAGTGGGAGTGAGGACTCTGGTTCTCCAAAACACCAGAACAGCACCAAGGACAGGAAGGTCATCCCTCTCAAAATGTGCTTTGCTGCTAGAAACCTAAGCATGCCGGATCTGGAAAACAGGTAAGCTGTAACTAGCAAGAAGTTCGTACCTACAGCTTTACAAACTTAAAGATGTGTTGCAATATTACATGAGTCTGTTGACTAAATTATACCAAGAAAAATATTAATCTGAGGTAAGAGATTTATTTTTGGAGTTCCATAATCTTATTTTAGAGACAGGGTCTCACTAGGTTACCCAGGCTAGAATGCAGTGGCGTCATCATAGCTCACTTTAACCTCAAACTTCTGGATTCAAGAGATCCTTCTACCTCAGCCTCTCAAGTAGCTTGGACTATAGACATGTGCCACCACACCCTGCTAATTTTTAAATTTTTTTAATGATAGACTGTTGCTGTGTTGCTCGGGCTGGTCTCCAACTCATGAGCTCAAGTAATTCTCTTGCCTTGACCTCCAAAAGTGCTGGGATAAGAGGTGTGAGCCACTATACCCAGCCTTAAATTATTTTACATATATGGGGTCAGCGCCTGTGGCTCAGTGGGTAGGGCACCAGCCCCATATATTGAGGGTGGTGGGTTCAAACCCTAGCCCCGGCCAAACTGCAACAAAAAATAGCCGGGCATTGTGGCACATGCCTATGGTCCCAGCTACTCGGGAGGCTGAGGCAAGAGAATCGCCTAAGCCTAGGAGTCGGAGGTTGCTATGAGCTGTGACTCCACAGCACTCTGCCGAGGGCAATAAAGTAAGACTCTGTCTCTAGGAAAAAAAAAAAAAATTTATATATATGAATGTTTGTGTGTTTGGAAAAATTTTGGACAGACACACAAGAATTGTTAATGGGATTATCCCAGGGAGTGAAATAGAATTATAGAGAGTTAGAAGGAAAGGGGGCTTCTAATCTTCCTTTTATACCTTTCTGTAATACTATTATTACTTTTCTTACTATGAACATGTATTACTTTATAGTTCAGAAAATCCTGTTAATAAAAAATTTTTAAATGTATCCTTAGTTAAAAATTCCTTATACTGTGGGTAGTGTAGCAAATCAGAGAGCTGCGTTACAGATCTGGTGCTGTCCGTTAGCAGTGTGATTCTGGCAAGTTAGTGTCTCTTAACCTCCATTTCCTTTTTTTGAAAATCAGAAAGCTAAATTGGATTATTTCTAATATTCCTCTTAGTTCTGTACCATACACAGTGTTCTATTACTTTGTCTTCAGTAACTCCATGAAGTGACAGTATGTAGACCTAGTGTTAATTTAGAGATTGGGAAGGGGAAGAGATGAAAACACTTGTCCAAAGACATAGTTAGAACAGACTTTTAATAACATGCTTTTACTATTATGATCTCTTCTGATCTGAATGAACAGCCAAGTGCCTAATCAGGATGGGGTGGAACACAGAAGATAGCAAGAAACTGAATGATCTTCTTGGGCTTTTAAGGCCATAAGGACGTTAAAGTTTCTGAAGGGTTGGAAAAAGCTGAGCTGTCTGATCAGATAAGAGTTTGGTTTGAATCGCAATTAGGTCACCTCCTTGACCTTGAAGTAAGGGTTCTGAGCACGTTTCTTCACCTCTATAAGCTGCCATGTACTCATCTATAAAACAGGTAGGGGCCAGGCATGGTGGCTCATGCCTGTAATCCCAGCACTTTGGGAGACTGCTGTGGGAAGATCACTTAAGCCCAGGAGTTTGAGACCAGCCTGGGCAGTATAGCAAGACCTTGTCTCTACAAAAAAATTTAGAAATTAGCTGGTCTTGGTGACGGGGGCCTATAGTCTCAGCTACTTGTGAGGCTAAGGCAGGAGGAACATGTGAGCCCCAAATTTTGATGCTTCAGTAAGCTATTATACCATTATATTCCAGCCTGGGTAACAGAGTGAGAGCCTGCCTTAAAAAAAGTTGGGGGCTCAGCACCTGTGGCTCAAGGGGCTAAGGCGCCAGCCACATACACCTAAGGTGGCGGGTTTGAATCCCCAGCCTGGGCCCAACAAACAACAATGATGGCTGCAACCAAAAAATGGCCAGGCGTTGTGGTGGGCGCCTATGGTCCCAGCTACTTGGGAGGCGGAGGCAGGAGACTCGCTTGAGCCCAGGAGTTGGAGGTTGCTGTGAGCATGATACCATGGCACTCTACCCAGGGGGATAGCTTGAGGCTCCGTCTCAAAAAAAAAAAAAAAAGTTGGAGGGGCTCAGTGCCCCTAGCATAGTGGTTATGACACCAGCCACGTACACCAAGGCTGGTGGGTTCGAACCCAGCCTGGGACAGCTAAACAATAATGACAACTACAACAATAAAATAGCTGGGCGCTGTGGCAGGCGCCTGTAGTCCCAGTTACTCTGGAGGCTGAGACAAGAGAATCTCTTGAGCCCAAGAGTTTAAGGTTGCTGTGAGCTATGATGTTACAGCACTCTATTGAGGGTGACATAGACTCTGTCTCAAAAAAAAAAAAAATATTGGAGGGGCAGGTGCAGTGGCTCACACTCATAATCCTAGTACTCTGGGAGGCCCAGGCAGGTAGATTCCTTGAGCTCAGGCGTTTGAGACCAGCCTGAGAAGAGCAAGACCCTGTTTCTAAAAATAGCTGGGCATTGTGGTAGGCATCTGTAGTCCTAGCTACTTGGGAGGCTGAAGCAAGATTATTTGAGCCAAAGAGTTTGATGTTGTTGTGGGCTGTGATGCTATGGTACTCTACCAAGAACATCAAAAAGTTGAAAGAGGATAAGAGTATGTCGCTTATCCTGTGAATTAAATGAGACAATATATATGAAGGGCCTTGCACAGAGCCAAGCATAGATAGTAGGTTCTCAAGAAATAGTAGCTTAGGTCAGCACCTGTGGCTCAGTGAGTAAGGTGCCGGCCCCATATACCAAGGGTGGCAAGTTCAAACCCAGTCCCGGCCAAACTGCAACAGAAAACAAAAAAAGAAGTAGTAGCTTAGAAAAGTTTTAACTATTCAACATTTCCAAAAGCCACCTATGAAAATGTTTTTCAAGGGTAGCACCTATGGCTCAGTGGGTGGGGCACCGGCCCCATATACCTAGGGCGATGAGTTCAAACCTGGCCCTGGCCAAACTGCAACAACAACAACAACAACAAAAAATAGCTAGGTGTTGTTGCGGGTGCCTGTGGTCCCAGCTTGGGAGGCTGAGGTAAGAGAATCACCTAAGCCCAGGAGTTGAAGGTTGCTGTGAGCTGTGTAACGTCACAGCACTCTACCAGGGGCGATAAAGTAAGACTCTGTCTCTACAAAAAAAAAAAAAAAAAGAAAGAAAATGTTTTTAAAAAACTAAACAATGAAAATATATGAGAGTATAATTTTTAAAATATATAGGCTCGGCACCTGTGGCTCAAGTGGCTCAGGCGCCAGCCACATACACCTAAGGTAGCGGGTTCGAATCCCCAGCCTGGGCCCGCCAAGCAACAATGATGGCTGCAACCAAAAAATTGGCCAGGCGTTGTGGCGGGCGCCTGTAGTCCCAGCTACTTGGGAAGCTGAGGCAGGAGACTCGCTTGAGCCCAGGAGTTGGAGGTTGCTGTGAGC